AATGTTGAGTAGACCAAAAGTTAGCTGTTGGTACTGTAAAGTAGATGTTTTCCCTCTAGTCTATCATCTCAAAATTATCTTTCAGGTTGAATTTCCTCGAAATGTTTATGTTTTTGTGTATATTTCTATTCTTTCGTAATCATATTAGCCCACTATTTATTCTGATATTAAACTAACGAATATGGAAGAAAGCTTATAAATTTACCATTTTGTACATGCACGTATGCCTCCATATTTTGCAATATTTGTGAACTAAGGACTATCAACGTATTAGTAAAAAAAATAAAGTTTTGTTATTTTTGTTTGTTTGTGTTTAATCCAAAGCTACACAATGAGTTATCTGTGCGTATTACGTGTATCGAACACTCATTTTTAACGATGTAATCCCTCAAGTTTACCGCTGAATCTCTAGGTGGGAAGCGTAATAAATTACATGTAACTGATCTATTTTAATTACATAAATTTATTTGGGAACATTTGGCATACATTTTAATAATTTTTTTAGCGCGTTTCTTCAAATCTGAAACTTTAAAAATTGTCATTGTAAAAATCTACTTAAATTAGAATTATTATCAGGTTATTTTATTAAGTTCACGCACGTACTCAAGGGGGTTCGGCCTAATCCCCTGTTTTTGTGATGTATAAAAAATTACGCTTATATAGTTATAGTGCAGCTGCTTATGGTATTTAACGTTTTCTACATAGTCTACATTCTTCTGGTGAAGTATTAACACTTTGTGGCCTCAAATAGTCGCATGCAATGGCTTCTGTTGAAACTTTGAAATTCTAATTATCAGGTTTTGTAGGCCGGATTCTTTAGAATAGGTGTTTGTGACTTGTTGGCGATAAATTTTAACAATAAACAAACAGTGAAACATTCCACTTGTTTTAAAATAATATATTAAAACAAGTCAAACGTATATATAAATGTCTGTTGACTTTTCATTGGGTGTTTGTGAATTTTATGCGAACAGTCATGTAATTGTTTAAGCTATATTTCATGCAAACTTGCTTCCAGCTTTAATCTCATAGCATCTATTTTTTACAAAATTTCTGGGGGTCATGCCTCCGGGCCTCCGTAACATTAGAGTTTTTTTGCATACTGATGGTACTTCGCACAATATGAGTTGGCTTTTGATCTCACAAATTAGAACCCCTCTTTGAAACATTCTGCGTACGGGTCTGAACTTAATGCAAGTAACATCTTCTTTAGCTCTAGATTGGCCTACTTAAGACGGATTCAGAATTTGTTTTCTCATATAAGCAAACGAACTGTTACAAATTTAGACTGCGTGTATTGTACTACTTGTTTTATTCTCATTGCAATGTGCCAAAATAGGACTTTCAAACATTTTTATTGACTTCTATTTTCCTGGTTTCCCAACACTCAGTAATCCTTTCTTCCTGGCCAAGTTCTGCGTCGAATAGAATTTAACTACTTGAAGGAAAACAAAGGAATTATCTATTTCAAAGTGCATAATTTTTTCACAGAGGCAAGTAACACGTGTGGTATTTTATATATACTACGTGACAAATGTTCTTGTAAAAGCCATCCATATATGAGGCTTAAAAATTAAGGGGAAACGAACGCGCTCTCTTGCATGAACAAACGGTAAATGGAAAAAAGACTTGTATTTGTTTTGTTATGCTTGAATGCAGCTTAGATACAAAGATTTTAAGAGTTGCACTTGTCTCCGAAGTTAGAATGGAAGAATTGAAAATTAAAACCTGTCAGAATTCGAACTCATGACTGCTTACCAGACAGATTCCTTAACTAACTAAGCTTCCGAGTTTTGAATGCCCTTATCTCTGGCTTTTTACTGCACAGTTTATTATTTGTTTGTTTTTAGAACCTTCGCGCAACGTTACAGAAGGTTATCGTCTCATAACTGTCCCTACTTTTGAAGTGATATACTAAGGAAAAGGCAGCTAGTCAACAGCACACCCACAGCAAACTCATGAACTAGTATTTTCTAACCTAATAGTGCAATTTGATTGCCACTCTTATAGGCGCACCATCGACCACTAGGTGTGGAGCGTGTATTTACGGCAACGAAATGCGAGTCTTGAACCTACGGATTAACAGTCTTGTCACGCTAGCCGTTAGGTCATGTCTGATACCCATAATTTCCCCGAAAGGGAGCCAAAAGCCGCCTGGAGGAGTCACCTGTTGTAAACACTCGTACCATTATACAGTAGTGTGTTGTCTGTCAGTTAGTTAGACACTAAAATGGCGTCACATAAAGGACGCTTAACGTTGCAATTTGTACTGTAGTGACACGCCATCAATCAAGAGAAGGATTATGCAGGCTACAACACAGCATGACATATGAACTTCAAAATCAAGAAATTAATATATATATTTGTTACTTTTAATTTTTTTTATTTACTGTTGAAACGAAACACTTTCGAGGACCCTGCGGAAATACATCTATTATATAGAGGGCGCTTTTTAGCAGTACTCTTGAGTATGACAGTGGAATTATAATACTGAGAATCCAGTCCGTTTATTTCTGTTGCTATTGTTGTCAAATTCAATTTTTAACTACTTTAAGCTATAAATACTGTACATAATAAAATAGAAGTCATTTCAAAGCAGAAGAAATATATGCAAATTAACATAAAGTTCACGCATCATTAACAATATTAAAAATTGTGACATTAGAATGCTGAACACCAACACTTAATTCATTAAATTTAATGTATGTAAATGAAATAACGTGCAATGTATTAAATAACGCAAAAATATTTGTGAAAATTCAAAAAACTTGAAAGTACAATGGAAAAATTTCTTAGTTCGTGGAAAATATTCTGAAGCAAATTTCAAAGAACTTGGATTCAGAAATTAGTTATTGGAACAAAATTAATATTCCGCTCTAAATTTTGAGAGATTAGAGAGTAATCTAACTATTGTTTAAGATGTGGATCGGGAGAAAAGAGTAATGTTTGCAGTTCCTGTAAGGCAGGTCTTAGATAATCAACATTAACACTCGTAATTACTCATTCGATTCTCCCCATCCCCGTATCTGAGGTACAAGAGTCCACATTTGGTGCAACGAATATCTGTATTATAATAGTTGACTTGTGTTAGTGTTGCTAATATTTTTACATACCAAAAATAACGTCTAAACCTATTGTTCTTTTCTGACTGTGGGTTCCAATATATATCTATTGTTATTTTCTGATTTTTTACTCGGGTCGAGGTATAACATTTTTTATAAAATAGGTCGTTTGTGAGCATGATAACGAAATAGTAATTTCGTTTCAGGCACATTGTGCTACTATATTAAAACTTAAGAAACCAACGTTTCTGGGCACAATGAAAGATCAAATCTTTATTAGAAATTTTAGCCGACTAGTTCTGGTAACACAGTCACCATCAGTCTAATGATAGTGACTGTGTTACCAGAATTAGTCGGCTGAAATTTCTAATAAAGATTTTATATTTCACTGTAACAAAAAAGCGTCAATTTTGTTTTCTATTTTTAATGATAACGATATATTGTGTAAGTTTGGAAATTATAGGGAAGACTGGGGATAGCTGACTCATTGTTATAAAATCTTAAATAGAAGTCATCTGTCAAATGTTTGTTTGTTTTTGAATTTCGCGCAAAGCTACACGAGGGCTATCTGCGCTAGCCGTCCCTAATTTAGCAGTGTAAGACTAGAGGGAAGGCAGCTAGTCTATCTTACTACAATCTGAGGTATTCTGTCAGTCTGAAACTGTCTATATAATTTTATTGAACATATTTGTGAAATATTTCATGAATTACAAAATCTACCATATGTTACGCATGGGTCAGGCGTGAC